GACTGAGATTAAAAATCCTAACTCACTATGATTTGCTATAAAACCCTAAGCAAGTTATCACCAAGCATCAAGTTAGAGACTAGAGAGATAAAGTAAAATGGAGAAAATATCTACTTTGCAGGTTGTTATGAGAATCAGATGCACTAATATACATAAATTGCCTTGCACAATACCTGGCATATAGTATGTATTGAATAAATACCACTTCCCGTCCTTTTAGGTAAAATACCTTCATATCCAAGGTGATTTCACTGAGTACAATAAACATAGGGTTTCCAAACTTTTCACCACCAACATTTTTTTTCTTGTTCTGTTTTTCTTTTTTATTAAATATATTTTATTGACTTTTTACAGAGAGGAAGGGAAGGGATAGAGAGTTAGAAACATTGATGAGAGCAACATCGATCAGCTGCCTCGTGCACACCCCCCCACTAGGGATTTGCCTGCAACCAAGGTATATGCCCTTGACTGGAATCGAACCTGGGACCTTTCAGTCCTCAGGCCAACACTCTATCCACTGAGCCAAACCCATCAGGGCTGTTTTCTAAAAACTGATATCATAACTATCACTGAAAGCACCTGATTAGTATGAGGTAAATATGATACTTTATCATCAAAAGCAACAACATAATGTCATGGTTAACATGAAGATAAATGTATGATTTTGGTTGGCTTTCTGAAACACTGGAAACAGTTCCTAAATCCCCAAGACTCCTTTTGAAGAGATTTTAAGGATCTAGGGGGGGGAAACCCTATATAATAAAGAGGCAATATGTAAATTGACCATCACACCCTCACAAGATGGCTGCCTACAATCAGGCCAGCAGGAGTGTTAGTGAGGGACGACCAAATGACTGAACAAGCGTGCAGCTGGGGACGACCTGGCCAGCAGCGAGGGGGCAGTTAGGGCCAACCAGGCTGGCACACAGAGGCAGTTAGGGGTGACCTGGAAGGCAGGCAGGCAGATGAGTGATTAGGAGCCAGCAGTCCAGGATTGTGAGAGGGATGTCTGACTGCCAGTTTAGACCCGATCCCCCTGGGGATCGGGCCTAAACCGGCAGTTGGTCATCCCCTGAGGGGTCCCGGATTGGAGAGGGTGCAGGCTGGGCTGAGGGGACATCCCTCCCCTTTGCATGAATTTTGTGCACCGGGCCTCTAGTAGAAAATAAAAAAGAACAACAACAAAAAAGGACCTAGGAGCCCCTAGTTAGAAATCACTGGCATATAGTCAATTTACAGATGGTAAATTCCCTGTATCACCAGACATTATCCTACATAAATAGAAAATCTTCCACTGCCAAATTAAAGGTCAGAAGAGCCAATGAGCCCTAGCTGATTTGGCTCAATGTATAGAGCATTGGCCTGTGGACTAAAGGGTCCCGGGTTCAATTCTGGTCAAGGGCACATGCCTGGGTTGTGGGCTCGATCCCCAGTGGGGGGACATGCAAGAGGCAGCTGATCAATGATTCTCTCTCATCATTAATGTTTCTACCTCTGTTTCCCTCTCCCTTCCTCTCTGAAATCAATAAAATTAAAATTTCAAAAAAAAAAAAAGAAGAGCCAAAAAAAAAAAGAAGAGCCAATGAGAGTAAGATGTAGTGTTCATAATACAGTGCATCCCAAGACACAGGGATCTAAACCCTATTGGAGCTGCTTCTAGATTACCCTCCCCTCCCATTTGGTATCTTCCTTTTTCAGTCCCAGTGCTAGGAGAGTGGCAAATAACAGGTACTTCATGAATACTTGCTTGCTGACTGGCTAAAGGGCAGAAGCAGAAAAAGAGTAAGGGAAAAGAAAGAAAGCCCACAACGGAGCACTTCTGTGCTGGAGACTTTGCATGTTAAAGTGTTCTGTATAACACTATCCCTCTAAAAACCAAGGACACAAAGGTAATAGCGCTCATCAATACACAGCCTATAAATGGCAGGGTTTCCTGTCAGCCTGATTCACTACTGCACTCCATGGTTTGAGACATAGAAGAATGTTAGCCTTCCCAAACCTTTTACCTACTCAATGATAACGTTGTTGGGGTCAAGGTCCTTCCCAGTCCCTTGGTTGACAACTTTCATGGAGAGAGATACTTTTATCCTATCATTTTTCATCTGAAAAAGATGAAAACAAAGTCACCAAAAGCTCAAAGTACATCATTTAGACCGCTGATCTAGAATTATCTAAGAATAGAAATTTTTGTCATCATAACAAACAGTACTCCTCTAATAGCCAAGGTCCTGTGCTAAGAGCACTGGTGGTGCTAACAAGCATAATAGGCAGGCTCTGTGATAGGATTTTAGGAAATGGTTTTCATCTCTTTTTGCCCCTCTTGTA